AAAGCTCTACGGTATCTTAAGCTAAGGGCAGTCTCTATAATGAACGTGTTTGACGGCAGTAGTGTCTCACTGAAAATTGGTTATCGGAATTTTTGCATTTTCGAATGCTTTCGACCTGTAATCCAATGCGGGCTCGAAATCGCGTGGAAAGTACGAGAACCTTGTTTTTGAAGGAAGGTCCGTCAAGGAAGCAACGCGAACTAGTTGTGACTTCTCACTTCAGGCTGCCACAGCAGCAGCAACGCCTTGAAAATGGACGACAAGTGGAGCAACATGTTGAACACCTAAGGGGGAAACCGAAGTTTTAGTTTAGTTTTAGTTTAGTTTACAAAGCGTGATTTGTCCATTGGGCCAAATCACGCTTTGTAAACTACTTCAAATGCAAAATATTGGCGTAGATGGGCGCGAATCGAGCCAGACTCGTTTACTCAAAAAAGTCCCTTGGTAAAGTATGTAGAGACCCGCACTACCTTATTTTGAGACACTGCATTTTAGCCGCAACCAAGCTGTTTAGAAGGACGCGCAGGAGGAAGCGGAGATCTAGCCGCAGTGACCGCAGACAGTCAAGAGCGCGAGCACTGCGCAGGAAATTGAACTGAAATTGGCAAAGAAACTTGGAGAGGACTGTGTTGTGTGAAAGGGATTTTTCGTACTTTGCTTAGCGAGCTCAAGAAATCAGTCTAAAATCTACTTTTCCACACACTTATCTTTAAGAACTTTACCACCAAAAGTAGTTTAAAACAACGGTTTTAAGAGTAACATAAAACTAGATACCTGTTGCAGAATTTGAAATATTTAAATGTCACGAAATTGAAATCATCAGATTGGCGCGCAGCTAAAGAGGTGGAGGAATCATTTCATAAACAAAAAATTAATTTTTATTTACAGAGCAGCATGTTCGCGTCCAAATTCCAACATGCAATATGTGTACCGCAAAACAGCCAGTAGATGATCTCCACGCTGTGCATATAGTATGGAACTTGAATGCTTTTCGTTTGCTAGTTCTTTTTCGCAAACCCTAGGTGCATTCTTAAAACCACTTCGGTAAAGTCGGAACCTACACACATATATTAAATCTACGTGGTACGAATGAATATTTTTGCAAATCTTGATTTCATTCATCTTGTGTCATGATTGTGAAAACACATAGCAATCTCTAAACCCAGAGAGGACTTGGCGGGATTATCAGATTGAATGTCAATATTTTAGGTTTATTGGATCTTGAGTTGGAATTTTCATGATGCTAAAAAATTCTTTTACTTCTTTGATGAGCGTGCAATTTCAAGATCTACAAGCATAATCAAGGCTTCTTGGGACGTTTGAAAATTTGTCCACCCCCCCCCCCCTTCCAGCAATATTAAATCTATGAGATTTGTAACCTAGAGCAAATTGTATTTATTTCATCAACCAAGGCCTTGAAAAGCAGGTTGCAAAACTGCCACCCCTACTGGAGCGTTTCCTCAAAAGCAGCGTCCAGGCAAATCTGGACCGATGGTGATCTCACGTGGAAAGCGGTTTTGAGGCCCTACCCAAGACACTGCCCAAGCAGCAGCGCGAATCATTACTTGACTGACTAAATCGCCTCCAAACTGGGCCCGGAATCGTATCACGAACGCTTGCGTGCTTTCGCGCAAGGGCCCACGTGGAAATGATGCGTCGTGGTATGAAACCATGGGAATATGAGCCAAGTCGTCCGTTAATAGATTCTGGGTCCAGTTTGGAGCAGAGGTGCGATGGGGGGAGCCGGGCTCACCAAAAGTGAAGGTGGTCCCAGCTACCACTGGCCGGCCAAAAGTGAAGGTGGTAGTGTCGGACACTCAACTCCCAAAACCCAGAAGTCGACGGGGGGGGGAGGTAGAACGGACGAACAGAGCTATTTTTCTAGGTCGAACTGTGACCCAACGGCCTTTTTTAGGGCCACAGATACCATGAATATTGAAAATATTTATAAATTTTATTTATAAGAATTCATAATAGACGTGTTTAGTAAATGGTGTATTTGGAAGTAAAAGTTTGTTGGACTGTACGGATTTTATTAAGTAAATTTGTCATAACATACTGCAAAGGAAGTAGGTCGATCTAGGCGGTAACGGCCGAGAACCAGAATTTCGAATATTTAAATAGTGAAAAACCATGCGAAATTTCCACTGTTATAAATCTGTTGTTTGAAGATGTCAGCAGTTGCGACTTTATAGGTTTTGAAGAGTAAATGGTGCTCTATCAGACAGTGAAGGAGTCGAGTCGATTTGAGAGATAGTCTTTGAAAACCAGAATTCTAAATATTTACGCCATTTTTGCGTGTTTTTTGACAGTTGACAGTTAAACTCATATAAATCTTGAATGTGAAAGTGTATGATGTTGCGACTTCATAGATTTTATAGAGTAAGGTTTGCCTTATCAGGGTATATCTTACTCGTTCCGATCCATTGAAACACCTCCAAGATCCAGAGTCTTGAAAAAGCAGGTAAAAAAGCGCTTTTTGAAATTCAACAGCTCATAACTTATTCAGAACTGCATGAATCATGTTGCGACTTCATAGGTTAGATTCTTCTCATCAAGAGATTTCAGAAGATATATAATATGTGGGGTTTAGAGCCTCCTACGAATTATGCCCGTGGGGGGAGCCTTTTCATACCAAAGTCTCCCCCCTCCAATACATTAAAGCGGGCTAGGGGAAGACTTTGGTATGAAAAGGCTCCCCCCACGGGCATAATTCGTAGTAGGCTCTAAACCTTTACATATTATATATCATCTGAAAGCTCTTGATGAGAAGAATCTAACTTATGAAGTCGCAACATGATTCATGCAGTTCTGAAGAAGTCATGAGCTGTTGAATTTCAAAAAGCGCTTTTTTACCTGCTTTTTCAAGACTCTGGATCTCGAAGGTGTTTCAATGGATCGGAACGACTAAAATATACCCTGATAAGGCAAACCTTACTCTATAAAACCTATGAAGTCGCAACATCACACACTTTCACATTCAAGATTTATATGAGTTTAACTGTCAACTGTCAAAAAACACGCAAAAATGGCGTAAATTTTTAGAATTCTGATTTTCAACGATTATCTCCCAAATCCACTCGTTCTTTCACTATCTGATAGAGCACCATTTACCCTTTGAAACCTATGAAGTCGCAACTGCAAACATCTCCAGACAACAGATTTATAACAGTGGAAATTTTGCATGATTTTTCACTATTTAATTATTCAAAATTCTGGTTCTCGGCCGTTACTGCCTGGATCGATCTACTTTCTTCGTCGTACGTTATAACAAAATTTGCTCAATAAAATTCGTACAGTTTCGCTAAGTGTTACTTCCAAATACACCATTTACTGAGCACGTTTATTTTAAATATATTTATGCCGCCGTATACATAAATATATGCTTTCAATAATCCTTTTTGCGTTTGTTTTGCTTAATTTCCTTGTTTATCGTCCAGCAAAAAATTTTTATTCCAAAAGCGAAGGTGGTCACCCTGTACCAGCCAAAAGTGAAGGTAGGGGGAGAATCGGCTCCCACTATCGCACCTCTGGTTTGGAGGCAAATACCTCAGCCGTAAGTACACCCGTAAGCTGCCTCTTAGGCAGTGTCTTGATTGTTGTCCCATTACATTCCACGTATCCCCATATGTCCAAAATTGATTGGACACTGCCATTAGGCAAAGTTATGCACATTTGTTTCTCTATGGTTCTCTGTAAGTTTCTTTGCCAAAAATTTCTGAATCTTTGCCAAATCCGCTCATAGTGCACTCGCTCTTAATTATCATCTGCGGATATGGCAGCAAGGCTTTGGTTTATCCTGCTACGCTGCCTTTTTAGCCCTGACATCCCACTTGTGTCACGTGGAACTACGCGATGATCACATAACACACATAGCCAGCAGTAATTCACTACTTGGCATCATCACAGATGCCTGCAAATTGGCACACTCGCCAAAAGTTGGCAACTTTAGTGTGAAATCGCGGACTGATCACAAATTCCGATAAGTCACATATCTAGGGTGCAGTCACTACCAGCATAAGAACAAAACATTGACGTCACGCAGGTTCGAATCTGCATGCTTCTTTTAAGGCACGGTAGTCAATCAACCACACGGTTAGTTACTGTTGATCGCAAAACAATAGCAGAAACGCACAAACAAGTTCAAGAGAACATGATGAATGGACGTGTGCATGTTTTTGAGCCTGAAACAAAGCTGACTGATATGGGCAACGAAAAGACGGAATTGTTGCAAACGAGATCTGAAGAGATTGCAAAAAGAAGACATTGCTTGCAAGGATATTGTGTTACCAAACTCTTTTTTCATGCATATCAATCACGAAAATCCCAGGTAACGATAAAATTAGTAATTCTTTGTTGGGAAGTGAATTTGGATTTGTTTGCTTGACGTAAATTGTATTGATATCACCCCGCACATTCACAGACGCTGTCATATGGTAGGGGCACATGGGGATGCTGGCAAGGGTAGAGAAACGAACACTTCAATCAGGCATCGCCTCCGCGGGCTGCTGGTCCTTTCGTACTACTGTTGTGCATCGCGTTAGAACCAGTAATCTTCAGAGGCGGTGCCTGATTGAGGTGTTTGTTCCTCCACCCATGCTTGCAGCCTCATTTTCAAAAAGAATTCACACTATTTTGCGTTTTCTGACTTGTGGGCAGCTCTCACCGCGCAAATTTTGACGAGTCGGCAAGGGTTGGGCCAGACTGCGCTGGAAAAGCGGCGCACGCAGCGTACGCCGTGTACACTCCTGTGATGAAATATATCAAGCGTAGGCGCGTACGCCGTTACGCCGCTTTCCCAGTGAAGTCTGACCCAACTCTTTGCATTGCCAGTACATCTCCTACCCTCCAGCCCTCCTTCACTAGCTGATACGGTGCTATTACCGCTTGCATATAGGTGGCGCCTTACCTCCTCCGCTTATCTGTGCATTGAGCGTAATTATGGAAACGATACCGCTTTATAACGTTGATCTACCATCAGCAAAATGTCCTCCTTCGAATCAAATGTTGCACTGAATGACGTCGTTGAAGGTGTCGCAGCCAAGAGGGCGAGAAACCAGTGTGCTATCACCAAAACGCACAATGGGATTTTCTTCATCAGCTGCAATGTCCAATCGATCGTCACATTGCCATATTTGAATCTTCATCTGAAACTTTTGAAATGGAAACCGAAAAAAGCAACTCAGCAAGTTTTTCTTTTGAATTTTTTATTATCGCTCACCGTTCCACTTTTTGTCTATCCTTTGCATATGGTTACATATCTGTGCACAGAGATTAAGACAGTTCCAATGCATCTGAGGATAATGCTGTAGGAAGCGATTGCAAATGTAAAATTGGCCAATAGGCGGTGTTCCCAGAAAAAATTGTTGGCTATTCCTGACAGTCGAAAACCTCAAAAAAATTGTATATGAGAAGCAACATCACATCAGGCAACATCCTAAAAAAAGGTTTGCCATAATTCATCAAATTTGGCATTTTTGAATTGTAATATTCAAGTTATACATGACTTAGATCTTTTTGTTACTGCGATTACCTTGCTGGATTTTTTCTTTTGTTTTGTTTTCAAAAGTATTGCATACTTTTTTACGGTGACTGGTATTCACTTACTACTTCTTGATCATCCAAAACCCCGGAAGTTTCTGGGTAAAGTTGTTTCATACCGTCGCAATGACCGCAATTACTGCAGCAGCCGCTACAGCTTGAGCGTAAAAAAGAATATCGACCGGATTTATGTCAAATCACAATATACACACGAGAAGGTCATGATTTCTGATGAACGGTTTTACTCATACTTTCGCCTAGCGTTCGTTACCATGTTTGCTTTGATCCTATCCGTTTCGATCTATGTCATTCAATTTGTTCGACTGTTCTGACCAGGATGGCTGTACTTGCTTCAAATTTTGATAATAAACGCAAGATGACAGAAAGATATACTTGCTGAACTATCACTGCAGAAACTGCAATATTTTAAGCGGGGAGATGCAGATAGCGCACAGGATGAGAGATTGAGCACGTTGAACATTCCTGCTTTTTTCATCACGAAATTGCTGTTTTCGCGTTTATTGGCTTTGAACAGTTTTTTTTTCATTCAAGTAAGAAAAGCATTCGGTGCTGGGCTCAAGGAACGAGTAATACTTCTTGTATTAACTAGTGATTCTATTCGACATGTAATGACAAAAAGGTTTTTTTGGCATCCTGCAACGCTTCACTTGGGATCTGTACCTCCGACGTACAGGTCAACAGCGTGCACTATTCCCACTCCGCTGTCCGCAGTCATAATTTTGCTCTTTTATGGACTCAATAAATGTCTCAGAGGTAATGTTTACAATTGGAGCCGACAGCTGTGCACTTGCAAACGAAGTCCAAAGCAAAAAAGGCTTCTTGTCGTTTTCTCCATACTTGTAGTAAAGGAAACGATAATACTTGTTATCTACAAAGATTATTGCCACCTGAGACTTCGTTGCATGCACGAGCAAGCAAACTTGGGTAATTAAACTCTATCTTGACAACGAAAAAGCAACAATAAAATCAATTAAACGCGACAAGGTGATGTTAGTAAATGAGATCTAAACTACAAAATATAATGAAATGAGAGAAGGCAAAGCTAAACAACGAAGCAAATGGCGGAAGCAAGCTAAGTACGACGATACTTATATGCATGGCTCTATGTCCTCTAGCTGCAGCTGCGCGCGACTTCACAAAAGCACCAAAGAAATGGTGGAGATTACCCTGATGCTAACATCTGCACATTCCTACAATAGCAAAGACAATGCGAGTGGGACCTACCGCATTCATCTTTGCTGTGCAGTTGGCAAAGTATGACTTAACCATACAGAGATGCAAATAATCCTCGCATTTTGAGGCAGAGGAGTATAATACGAAGTGCGAAGTTGTATACTCCAGCCCCGCTAATAGATCGATTGCTGGGTCTGTATTGCACTCGCCTTTGTCTTCTTTCCTTCCCACACCATTGTGTCTTTCTTCCCGTTCACCAGTCATAGATTATCATTTTACTGACAGTTACTAGTAATCCGCCCCATGGGCGCGCAGTGCGTGCTCATATGTATGACAAAGGACAAAGGCGTAATATCTTTGGACGCGAACGTTACCTTGTTAGCCGCAGAGCGCATGAGGGGCAGGATTTACAACGGTGAAGATACGCGTGCGTCGCGTTCGCTCCCGCGAAACTAATACTGCTTCTGCGTCTTCGTCATGCGTAGCCTTTACGGTTGCAAACAACTCGCGCATAATCATTGCAACGCATTGAATTTTCGAAAAATATTAGACAGATTCGGCAAAGTGGCATTTTGCTACACTCCTGTAGTATCCATACAAAGTGTTACCAACAGTTAATCAATGTGATGTTATCAACCCACTGAGTGATCCATCTAAACAAACGTTTAAGAACCAAATATCCATTATATCTACCGTATCCACATAGGCCATAGTTGATCTATACAGGGTGTCCGTAAAGTATGTATGCACTGTTTGATCGTTAATATCTCCGTTCCCAGGGGGTCTTTTGCCGAGCTTTAAGCACCATACTGTAGAGCTGGCTTCAACTTAGATTTACAGTATGAAGCGTATCGCCGGTCTCCTCTCATTACTGTAGGATTACGGTAGGAACTTCAAAGAGGGTTCTGAGCCATGAAAGGCCATATTTTGCTTCAGAAAGGAAACAAAACAGCCTGAAAACTTTTACACTAGGCTAATTAGAGTTGCTGATTATAACTGTAAAGTTCCCAACTTATTATGATGCTTCATTGAAGAGTTATGCCAGGTAAGAGGTAGCGGCCATTTTTTCAATGTTCCTAAAAAGTGCGTTTACACCGTTTAGAAAGCTTCGCAATCTTGTGAATAGTTGAGTATTGAACTCAGCGTCCATAAAAACCCTATTACACAAGTTTTCACATTTTTTTGAAAAATTTTGAAACGACAGCTTTTCCACATTGACACCATATGTTTCAAGTTTCTACCGTAATCCTACAGTAACAATGAGTGATCGCTGATTCGCTCTATACTGTAAATCTAAGTTGAAGCCAGCTCTACAACTTCACAATTAGAATCAGCAACTCTAATTAGCCTAGTGTAAAAGTTTTCAGGCTGTTTTGTTTCCTTTCTGAAGCAAAATATGGCCTTTCATGGCTCAAAACCCTCTTTGAAGTTCCTACCGTAATCCTACAGTAATTAGAGGAGACCGGCGATTCTCATACTGCAAATCTAAGTTGAAGCCAGTTCTACAGTATGGTGCTTAAAGCTCGGCAAAAGACCCCCTGGGAACGGAGATATTAACGATCAAACAGTGCATACATACTTTACGGACACCCTGTATATTGGAGGATGCTCCTCGCGAGTTGAGTCGCGCCTTTCAAGGATCTTTTTAGTGTTTGCAGGAGGTTTTCTTCGTGTCCCAGGTTATCAAGTCAAAGGCCTAAGCTCCAAATGACTCTGTAAGACTGTGCTGCCGATGTTTGTTTAGAAGATATGAGGACAATTCGAACAACAGTTGCAACGAAGTGCGGCAACGCGAACGACGGATGCGACGTCGCAACTTTTCTTTGCTTTGGTTTCAAAGAGAAAAACCTTAGTTTCAATAACGATGTGTACCGTATACAACATAGATACTTTTGAATACTATTTGGAATATGTTCTCACTCCTGTCTTTCAAGAAAGCACAAAAGTCCCTCTCAAGCAAGTCCCTACAAAATTCAAACACTTCGAATTCACTCAGAACTTTGAGTATGGAGCTTATCTGACATGCTGATTACAGATGTGGCCCATAGGCTGCGGAATAAGGTCCCTTTGTAGGCTATCAGCTGGAAGTACGCTCTTTTTCACCGCGCGCGATTTCGCGGTCCGAAACGTGTTAATAAACTGTGAACCGAGATAAGGCGAAATTTCCACGAATTGCGAAGTTATTAGGTGGCGGTTTTTTGAGTTTGCGTCCTCTGCCACTTCGCCGCCTAAATTCGGCGGCCACTGCCTTCGCGGTTTTTTTCGCGAATCATAGATAGTATTGTACATTGCTTCGCAGCTCCCAGCTTCTTTGAAATCTTTTCAGGAACTTCTCTCTTGAGCCTTGCTGAATAAAATCATCTTTAGATTGACTTAGTGATTTGGCGAGCTACCGGATTAGAGATGTCATTTCTTTGCTATTTACCACAGCTTGAGGTTCCTGAATTGCGAAAGAATTGCTTGGTGTCATGGTCTTGCGATAGACTGATAAGCTACGCTTCGCCGCTATCTTCATGGCACTATCTTTACATACTTTCATCATGATAACACGGTTCTACTCACATATACTAGAAACGTTGGATCCCATGGGATTATAACCTGTTGGGTCCTTTGTAAAAACAAGGTTTCTTAGTATTGCAATTGTGTCAATACGGAGCTCTTTGAAAAGCGTTGGCCTTCCTCATTAAGAATTCAGCGATGAAGAGAAGGGGAGAATCTTTTTGAAAGGGCTAAAAAATTTGTCAGAGGACAAATTCCGGTTAAGATACAGTAGTAGGTTGTCCAAAGCTATAGCCCTTTTTAATTTCCTGTTATGACAGCGCAAGGAGATCAAAACCAGAAATGCGTGAGAGATACTGTTCGGTAGAGCAAAGCAAGCTTTACAAGCAAGCATGCTTGCTTTTGCAACAAGTTTAATAAAAGCAAAGTTTGGAACAAAGTTTAGAGTTTTGAATTTGAAAAAAAAGGAATCGGATTTCGTCCGGGAATCATGGATTTCCCGTGTACACATTTATACTATCCAAATCAAACAGTAACGTATACAGTTGCTGCATTTCGAATAGAAATTGAGGGAACGTTTCGTATCAAACAATGCTGGGCCGTTCTTAGGCTTTGACTATACGCTATCCTTGTTACCCGTCTTACTCGTGTTATGAGATAGTGTTACTCGTGTTACTATAATAGAATCACACTGTATTGGTGGTCATTTCACAACGTAACAACAACAAAAGCGCTAACACTAGTAACACTAATAACATGGGTACTGCGACCGTGACTAACTATCACAACCGAAATACAAAAAGAGCAGCATGCAATGAACTCGTGGTGCTTGCCTTGTAGCGAGTGAATCACGACGATCAAATCGCGTGAATTCTGTCCGGGGCCTAAGGGACTTGAAGATTGAACTAAGGAA